GGGGCATAGAGGAGAAACAATAATGTACAGTATGTGGAAAATAATGTGTTTTTTTAACCTTAAACCACATAAACACATTTCATTACACCAAATACACAAAATAATGTTCTTTTTAGCAGCATCATATGACCCATTTAATAAATTACTCTCAGTAAGACGAAGCAGCCAGCCATTTTATTCCAAATTGTTTCCAGTATGCAATTTACCACAAAATAAATAATTTTTAGATGCACAGTGTAAGAAATTATTTTTCAAAGTGGTAAATAAAACAGATTATTGGAATACATTGGAATGCATTTTTCTTTCTACTTCAAATTTTCATATTTAATTCACTTGTTACTTGCCATTTCTTTGTAATTATTTGTGAAATGCTTGCAAATCCTACATCAATCGGTTTTTTTTCAGTCTAGTAAAAATGACATTTGTTGGTTGCGAAAATATGACAAAAATGACACGATTCTGCTGTGCTGCATGTGCTCATATTGGACAAACTGAACTAGTGAGATTGTAAAAACTGTTTTAACAGATTTCAGGGCCCAAGAAAACACCCAAAATGACACATCAGACCCGTTTCTGTGCTTCAGTCTTTATTTGTGAGCCCAGTTCTTCTTCTGTCATAACTTCAGGCAGTGAGTTTATTTACCTTATATCTTTATTCAATCTATATCTGAAATTAGTGACTCAAATAATGGGTATTTGAAACAATCTGGCAACCATTTTCAATGTTTCCAACAGCTGCTGTGGATCAGAATGTCTTTAATATGCAGATAACATGCCAGCTACATCTGTGTGACATCAAATAGTGATATTTCATTCATTACTCTATCACACTGTAATTGCAGAGTAATATACTCTACTTGTATCTAACTTATCTTTGAAATAGGTTGTGCTTTGGTGCACATGCATCTGTTTGAAAGGGCTTTTTGTATTGGTCGTGGCTGCATGTTGCTTTACTCTTGTAAAACAGGATTGTTTGTAGGAGGGAAAAGACTTGATCTTCTCCTGTAGCGTCTCGCAGTAGATGTCACCATCAGCGTTAATTAAAACTGTGGGAAGCATGATGGGAGGGAGGAAGAAGTTAATCCTCACGTAAGAGCATTAGTGCATATGACGACAGCAGCGAGGCTAACGTATAGAGCGCATTTAGCCGAGAGGATAGTATGTTGGTCAGCGGCACTGACTGTTGTTGTTATTCGAGTGCAGTGGTTTTGCTTCAGGACAGAGATTTGCTAAATGTTTATGATGCTAAAGTTGACAAATTGTTCCCTACAACCAAATGTTGAATGTTGAATGATATGCATAGGCCAACATGATTGAATAGGGAAATTCACCATTTTTGTTTCTAAATGTGAGCTGAATTTCGATGGTTTGATGCTCTTGGTCGCCAATTATGCAAAGGGTGTAACAAAAAGCAGTAAACCATGTTTATCCATATTGCAAATCAACCTGTATTAAACATAGTCCGAGTTATTTTTTCATTTATTTACATTCCTGTTCAAAAGTTTTGGTTGGTGAACGTGTTTTAAAAAAATCTTCTGCTCACCAAGGCTGCTTTTATTTGATAGTAAAAACAGTGAAATATTTTTACAATTTTACAATTTTGTTTTCTAGGTGAATATCTGTTCAAATGTAATTTATTTCTGTGATGCGCAGCTGTATTTTCAGCATCATAGCATCATTCTTCAGTGTCACATGATCTTCAGAAATCAGTATAATATGCTGATTTCTCAAGAAACATTTCTGATTATTATCAAAACAGTTGTGCTGCCCAATATTTTTTGTAGAAACTGATACATATTTATTTCAGGATTCTTTGAATAATAGAATGTTCAGACGCATCTATTAACAGTGTTCTGTCAACAAAAGCGCTACAGACGCTGTGCAGATGCTGATAGGGCAAGAATGTCGTCTCTGGCTGACCTCTGATAGGAAATAACACACACTGGACTGTTTTACGTCAGCACTGCTTCTTCTGTAAATCTCGTCCTCCTCTCATTGTAGTCAGTGGTGATAAAAACTCCCACAATGGCAGCTATTCACTGCAGACCTGTCGCTTACAGGCGTCTCTAAAGAAACCAGAGCCAGTCTCTGTGTCCCATCGTCATGGGAACCACGGGGTGGTCGGATGAAAGCTCGTCTGCCCACGAGTCACATGACCTCTCTGAGATTTGAGACTGGAATTTGCCGTTCCTCCGAGACTGTGTTCGGTCGCTCTCTGAAACAAGTCAAGAGAAATTATTAAGTAATAGCTCATCCAAAATGAAAGTTGTCATTACTTACTCACCTTCTATGTTACTCCAGGTCATACAATAGCTGTATTTGAGGAACAGACTGAAATTTAAGTTGTTATTCACTGGAAATTTCTCTCTAAAGCTCTCTATTCTCCTTTCTGCAAATACAAACTGGTGCTCTACATTCATTTACGATGAATGCGGGGTGCAATTTTTTATTTAAGAGAATTACATTTAAATATACATTTGTGTATGTGTGTTATTTTATTATTATTTATATACTATTAAAGTGTTTAACTTTTTTGAATTAGCTTTTATTTTTATCCCCAAACCATTACTGCTCTAGAGGAGATCTGCATGGAGGAATGGGCCAAAATACCAGCAACAGTGTGTGAAAACCTTGTGAAGACTTACAGAAAACGTTTGACCTCTGTCATTGCCAACAAAGTGTATATAACAAAGTATTGAGATGAAATTTTGTAATTGACCAAATACTTATTTTCCACCATAATTTGCAAATAAATTCTTTAAAAATCCTACAATGTGATTTTCTGGATTTTTTTTCTCATTTTGTCTCTCATAGTTGAGGTATACCTATGATGAAAATTACAGGCCTCTCTCATCTTTTTAAGTGGGAGAACTTGCACAATTGGTGGCTGACTAAATACTTTTTTTCCCCACAGCATATATACAGTATATATATATATATATATATTAAAATTGGCTTGTAACAATTACATTTTTGCATTTAGCAGATGCTTTGTCCAAAGCGGCTTGTTCTACCAGAGCGGAGCAGAGAGAGTGAAAGTTTTGGAAAGTTCAGCCATTATTTAACCATGAGAATACAAACAAACAAAACATAATAATGAGAAATTATTAAAAATAATAATAATTCAATTGGACTGAAATATGACCTGGACAAGTTCTTGAAATGTTTTGCAAGATCAATCCATGTGATCCTTTATAAGACGGTAATTTTGAGTTTTATGTAGAATATTTTGTAGAAAAGTAGTCATTACGTGTGCTGCTGGCGATGTTAAATATATAACCAATTAATAATTTTTTTAGTTGTAATTGTAATTCATTACTATACTCCAGACCAAACCTCCAGGGCTGCATTCCTCAAAAGCATTGTAAGCTAAGTTGATCATAGTGTAGTGTGTATTGATGGAAACGGGTCTACGATCTACTTAGGCTAGACAACGCAGCCCAGATCATTACGTCTTGGAGATTTGACTACCAATCAAAAGTTTAGTATTAGTATGATTTTCTTAATTAAAATAAATGGATACTTTTAAATTGACATTAAAGACTTGTTACAAAAGACTGTTCTTTTGAACTTTCTATTCATCAAAGAATCCTGAAAACATGTATCACGGTTTCCGAAAAAATATTCGTCAGCACAACTGTTTTCAATCATCGATAATAATCAGAAATGTTTCTTGAGCAGCAAAGCAGCATATTAGAATGATTTCTGAAGATCATGTGACACTGAAAGCTGCAGTAATGATGCTGAAAATCCAGCTTTGATCACAGAAATAAATTATATTTCAAAATATATTTAAATAGAAACCTGCTCTTTAAAAATGTAATAATATTTCTTAATATTACTGTTTTTTTTAATCAAAATCTCCCCAGCCCCAAACTTTTGCGTACACATAAAGTTACCTGATCTTCATAACTTTCCATGGCAGTACCAAAAATATACAGCAGAAAGGAAAACAAAAAAAGTTGAAAGAAAGAGAGAGAGTTTGGCTCTGTGTGAGAGAGTGCTTGCACTTGCTACTTGTTGTGGGACTGTTTACTGAAGAGGTTCACATACTCCACACACTCTGCACACACTGGTTTAGTCGCACTCTGTGAGAATGGAAATGAGCTAGACTGCTGCACACAAACCTGGAGGCTCGAGCGGCTCTCTAATGCCCAGTGCCTGGGTCCATAAGGCAGGATTCTGGGGCTTATCCAGGCGTTCGCCAGGCATGGCTGCACAAACCAGTCACACACAACAGCTCAATCCCCCTCACATACACACGGCATACCTGCTGGTGGTTCAAGAGAAATATGCTTTTCATACAACATGTATGCATTTAGAAGATGCTTTTGTCCGAAGCAGCTCATTCCACCAGAGGGGAACAGAGAGAGTGAAGGTTCTGGAAAGCGTTCACTGACTGTAGCTGGCAGTAGGGAGCTGTTTATTTTCATTCACTCAACCTTATTTGAGCAGGAATATAAAAACTCTGGAGATTTCAAATCTCTTTTATAAGAGTGTCCTGGCCAAGGACAGGCAGCAGCACTGCTATATACACAAAATAAGACACCAATACATAGAGAGAGAGAGAGAAATTAATTGTACTTTGAGCTTTGACTCGGAAATTAGCAAATGCTGTAATGCAGACCTTGGCTGTGTTTCCCACAGCATAAGGAGATTGTAGAAACCTTTGACATGAAGTATGTGTGTGTGTGTGTGTGTGTGTGTGTGTCGGTGTCTGTGTCTGTCTGTGTGTGTGTGTGTGTGTGTGTCTGTCTGTCTGTGTGTGTCTGTCTGTCTGTGTCTGTGTTGTGTGTGTGTGTGTGTATGTGTGTGTGTTTGTGTGTGTGCGTGTGAGTGTGCGTGCGTGCGTGCGTGTGTCTGTGTCTGCGTGTGCGTGCGTGCGTGCGTGTGTGCGTCTGTCTGTCTGTCTGTCTGTCTGTCTGTGTCTGTGTCTGTGTGTGTCTGTCTGTCTGTCTGTCTGTCTGTCTGTCTGTGTCTGTGTCTGTGTCTGTGTCTGTGTCTGTGTCTGTGTCTGTGTCTGTGTCTGTGTCTGTGTGTGATACCCAGATACCCAGCATTGTCTGCAGGCGGTGGAGAGGTTACAGTCTCGCTTGAAAGAAAAGAGAGCAGATGTTCCTGCTGAGGAGAAGCTGAATCTTCTGAAGGTGGTCCTACAGAGTCCTCTGTTTCACCAGATCCTCGCCCTGCAGAAATCAGTGCAGCATCTGAAGGAGCATGTAAGAACAAAACACACAACACTGGAAAAAAAATATTTCTCTAACTACAAGACATTTCAAACAGAGAGAATTTACATAAGTAAACGAATAGTTCGACCCAAAATGAAATCCTGACATTATTTATTTAGCCTCATGTCATTACAAACCCATCACACTTTAAGTAGAAATTTCAAAGATTATTCATATGGCTCTTTTCCAAGGACAGGTGAAAAATAATATAATCACCAAAAAAGCTTTTAAAAGAGCATTTAGTTTGAGAACTGCTCATGGTTACACTTTATTTTAAGGTGTCCTTGTTACAGTGTAATTGTACATTTAAGTACTGAGTAATATTAATTAACTACATGTATTTACTATATGGTTAGGATTAGGGTTTGGCTTAGGGTTACTTGCATGTAATTATGCATAATTAATTGTTATTATAATAGTAAGTACATGTAACGTGTAACAAGGACACCTTCAAATAAAGTGTTACCCTGCCCATTCATAGAATGGATCATTGTGTAAATGAATAATTTTTTACGCATTCTTTTCAAGTTTATTCCTGTTTATATTTGGACCAACTAATTTATTCACAAATCAGATGGATTTGTTCATGAATTGGAGTTCAACACACTTGCATTTAACATGGTGACAACATGCAACATACATGTGGTCATGTGACATAAATGTAGAATATTACTGTTTGAAATGTGTATTATATACACTGCCGTACAAGAGTTACTTTTTTTTTAAGAAATTGTATTTTTATTCAGCAAAGATTTATAGAATTGATCATAAGTGACAGTAAAGACTTTTATTTCAAAACAGTGCTGTACTTTTGAAGATTTTGTATGTTTTCAACATTGATGATAGTAACTATCATTATTAATATTTGAGCACCAATAATAATAGATAATACTTAGGAACAAATCAGCATATTTGAATGATTTCTGAAGGATCATGTGACACTGAAGACTGGAGTAATGATGCTGAAAATTCAGCTTTGCATCAAAGAAATAAATCGCATTTTACAATATATTCACATAGAAAGCAGTTATTTGAAATTGTAATAATATTTCACAATTTTACTGTATTTTTGATTAAATAAATGCAGCCTTGGTGAACAGAAGAGACTTTCAAAAACATAAAAAATCTTACCGACCCATTATTTTGAACAGCACTGTACATGCTTGGAAATGTAAACTTATATATATATACTGTATCTATATTTTTTATATCTTTCAGATTTGTGTCTCAGGTAATTATGCAATGACATGTTTTGACAGTCTGCTTTTAATCTTTGCTCCCCGATCTGATTGAGATTACATGATTATTCAAATCCCAAACAATTCAAATGCTGTGAAATATTCATAAGTAAGACACAGCCTTATTATTTAGGGAGCAGCTTCACTGGTTGGGCAGATTTGGGGTTTTGGAGCTCTGTGTGTTCATGGAGAGTTTGGCACCGGCAGCCGTTCGGTCTGAAGTATGCGAGTTATGCTGGAACAGAGGAATGGAGATTATCAAATCCCCAGCGGCATACCCTCTAGCTCTCTTCACTCACATACTTATGAACCGCAGAGCGGAACGCTGTTAACAGCCTGTGTGGAAGAAGGAAACCATCTAATGTCAGTCTGAAAGTTATGGACTCGTATAGAACAGAGCTGAGAAAAAGAAGTGAGCTTAATTGTATTGAATGTGCACTTGTAGTCTACTTCAAATCTGAAGAGTATATTTTTATAAAACTTGCAGATAATATAGTATTAATGAAATAAAAGGCCACTTAAGTGACTTAAAGAGAGACACTTTCATGACTGTTTCTGAACACACTTAAGTACACTTTTAAAAAGTGCAATTTGAAATAGTCAAAGTTTTAAAAATCACATGTTAAGTACTTGATTATCATTTTAACTTTAGTGTGTTGTTTGATATTACATTTAAAGTTAATATAGTTTATATGCACTAAATTGCAACTTCATCATTACAAATGTGTAATTACAAATATATATTAAATGCATGACAGACGAGTTTCAATAGAAGTGACATTAAAGTATATTGTAGTTGATTATAAATGCTAGTCAGTACATTCAGCAGTACTTTAACCATAATTTAAAGACAATAGAAGTAATTATGGAATTACATATAGGCCCGGTTTCACAGACGGGGCTTAGAGTAAGCCAGGATTAGATCAAAGTTCAATTAGGACATTTAAGCATTATTTTATGAACGTGCTTAGGAAAAAAAACATTACTGGTGTGCATCTTGAGACAAAACAAAGGCACTGATATATTTTAAGATCAGTCAGTGCAAGTTTCTTTCAGTTGAAACAGCTCAGACTTACATTTTAGTCTGGGACTAGGCTTAAGCCTTGTCTGTGAAACTGGGGGATAAAGATGTACTTAAGTCCTGCTTAAGTGGGTCAAAAAACACTCATTTAACAAATTGAAATTATAATACATTTTAATTTAATTGAAAAATAACATGCAATTAAGTGTCTGAAAACAATACGTTCAGTTCACACTTAAGTATACATACCTATTTCCATAATAAGTGCTATTTTTAACAGTATTCTAAAGTGTGCTTCTTTTTCACAAGGGGAGACACAAAGAAGAAGTACATTTTTCTATGCAGTTTCTAATAAGAAGTGTGTTACTTATGCAAAAGTAAACATCACGATTTCTTTAGTAAACACCTTTAATAACCCGAGAAGAGTTTCTTTCTGTCCACACTAACCTGCGGGGTTGTTTGCCAAAACTGGTGCGTCTGGCTTTGTCTGTGCTACTAGATACCAGAGAGCAGAGAGAGAGAGAGACATGAGTTCATGTGTGAAGTGGAGCAGAAGTAATTTCTGAAATGTGGACGAGCCAAACTGGAGGCCTAATCCTCTTACACGGGACGACTAACAAATACAGGCTCTCGCAGAGCTGACATAGTTTCGAGCGCATTCAAAGCTTGTGCACGATCAGCAACCGAGCCGAGATTCTGGGGTGCGTAATCTGAAGGGCCTCTGGGAGACGTTTATGAACATTAATGTTTGCTGCAGCAGACTGAAGTGCACAGAAGAGCCATATAAAACCTGCGGAACTTGACGTAGTTTGTTAAAATCCTGTCATCATTTACTCAGAGTTTCTGACTTGTTGAATGCAAAAGAAGATATTTTGAAAAATGTTGGGAACCAAAGAGGTGACGGTAGCCATTGACTTCTATAGTATGGAAAAAAAATACAATAGAAGTGAATAGCTACCGTCAACTTATTTTTTCACAAAATGGGTGAATAAATAATAAATGACGGAAAATTCTCGTTTTTGAGTGAATCAGCATCGGGAAAAGACTCACAAACACTGATATAACAGCACGGACGGAGCTGTAAATCACCGGAGTGCCGATCTGTGAAAGTGAGCTGGAAAGACAGTGGTTTGATAAGCAATTAAATTCAAGCAAACAGCAAATGTTTTAAGGAAATGACTTAACACATTGTGATGTGAAGTGCTTGTTATTTTTCTCACAGAGAGATGCTTTTTTGGGGCACGTTTTGTCGCGGTAATTGATGTGAAATGGTTTGTACTTCATCAGGAGTGTGCGCTCGAGTCGGGGAGGGAAATAAAAAGTTAATTAAGCAGCTCCTGGATGTAATGAAAAACATGTGTGCACAGATGGCTGGGAGGACAAATTATCACCAGAAATGATCAAAACAAATGAGTTTTGCACGCTCTTTCAGGACTATTTGGAACACACAAGGCGAGGAGTAATTTGGGCTGTCTTTCTCTTTCTCTCAGACTCCATATATTAACTCTGATCTGAAGGGCAGCACTGAAGGATTCTCAGCTCAGCTCAATGGACAAACTTCATCTGAAGAGTACAAACACATCATCCGCTCCATGGCTCAGGTGACACACTACATCTATCTATCTATCTATCTATCTATCTATCTATCTATCTATCTATCTATCTATCTATCTATCTATCTATCTATTGTTTTATTGTTCCATCCATCTATCATTCTTTCTATCACTCTATCATTTCATCCATCCATGCATCAATCAATCAATCATATATCATTCAATTGTTCCATCCATTCATCCATCGTTCTATCTATTATACTATCATTTATCATCAATCAATCCATTCATCATTATATGTATTGTTTTACTGTTCCATCCATCTATCATTCTTTCTATCATTCTATCATTCCATCCATCCATCCAATCATCCTTCTATCCATCGTTCTATCTATTATGCTATCATCTATCTATCTATCTATCTATCTATCTATCTATCTATCTATCTATCTATCTATCTATCTATCTATCTATCTATCTATCTATCTATCTATTGTTTTATTGTTCCATCCATCTATCATTCTTTCTATCACTCTATCATTTCATCCATCCATGCATCAATCAATCAATCATATATCATTCAATTGTTCCATCCATTCATCCATCGTTCTATCTATTATACTATCATTTATCATCAATCTATCCATTCATCATTATATGTATTGTTTTACTGTTCCATCCATCTATCATTCTTTCTATCATTCTATCATTCCATCCATCCATCCAATCATCCTTCTATCCATCGTTCTATCTATTATGCTATCATCTATCTATCTATCTATCTATCTATCTATCTATCTATCTATCTATCTATCTATCTATCTATCTATCTATCTATCTATCTAATCTGAGAGCTGAAAATAAATGTTGCATTATATCAAACTTAAACTTATTTTATTTTTGAAAATCAGATTCAGTTATATTCTCTACATTTTGATGCAAGAATAAAATTAATGTTAAAAAGATAAAATATAATTTTTTCCTAGTTTGCCCCTCTTCTATGATGTTGCATGCTGGGCCAAATCATAGGGCATCAGGGGCCAACTTTTGTCCCCTCGGCCCTTGTTTGGCCATCTCAGATCTATCTAGATCATTTAAATCTTTGTTTTTTACTATTTAACCCCTAAACTCTCATATGGTAGTTAAATAGTCAGTAAGATATCACACATTTAGTCATTTAGAGCAAATTCAAACAGCTGTGTGATTGTGACTGTACGTGTTGTTGTTGTACTGTGTGTGTCTGTGTGTGTGTGTGTGTGTGTGTGTGTGTGT